TTTGAAAATAAAAAATATAGTGATCTAACATATAAATGGAAATATTTTTCAGATATAATCAGTCCCTCCGCTGTTTATCTGTGTATAAAACAGAAATTTCCGGGGTGCCTAGGTGGCTCAGTCAGTCGAATGTCCAACTCTTGATTTCAGCTCAGGTCATGATCCCAGGGTTGTGGCACCGAACCGTGTCGGGTTCCACACTGAGCATGGAGCCTGCTTAAGATTTTCTCTCTCCTTCTGCCTCTTCCTGGAGCTGGCACACTCTCTCTCTCAAATTAAAAAATATATATATATTTTTTTCAGGGCAGGTGAGTGGATCAGTCAGTTAAGCATCTGGATTTTGGCTCAGGTCATGACCTCACCGTTCAGTGTCAGGCTCTGTGTTAACAGTGTGGAGCCTGCTTGGGATTCTCTCTCTCCCTCTGCCCCTCCCCTGCTCATGCTGTCTCAAAAGAAAAATAAATAAAAAATAAAGGTAAAAACAAATAAACAAAACAAAAAAATTCAAAAATGACCAGAGGATGTGAAGACATTTATCTAAAGAAGATATATAAATGAAAAGATGCTTAACATCTTTATCTCTTGAGAAAATAAAAATCAAAAACACAGCTCACAACACAAAACACAACTCAAAAACACAGTGAAATATCAGCTCACTCCTATTAAGAGGGCAATTATCAAACAAACAAACAAACAGGAAAGTAACAACTACTGGAGAGGATGTGGAGAAAACTTAACGGTTGTACATGGCTAAAAGGAATGAAAAATGGTGCAGCAGCCCTGGAAAACAGTTTGTATGTTTCTCCAAAAAGTTAAACATAGAATTACCACATAACCCAGCAAGTCCACTGCTAGGTACCTACCCAAAAGAATCAAAAGCAGGGACTCAAACAAACACTTGTACACCAATATTCACAGTAGCATTATTCACAAAAGTTAATACAAGTATTAAAAAAGAGACAACAGGGGGTGCCTGTCTAGCTCAGTCAGTAGAACATAGGACTCTTGATCTTGAGATCGTGAGTTCAAGCCTCACATTGGGCATGGAGCCTACGTTAAAAAAAAAAAAAAAAAAAAAAGATAACAGGTCCAAAACTGAGTCACCTGGGCTAAGCCTACATCACCAAACCAAGAGATAGTATCTACCTACCCACCTAACTGCTTCCCCAAGAATGTAATCTTAACTAGTCGGTCTGGAATTTCCTGGTCAGCGCTAGTGAGGTAATGTGCCTGATAGACTCAGGCTGCCTACCAAAGTATGGTAAACTGCCTGAAACAACCCACTCTTTGCTAGAACTTCCTTGTCCTGCCTCCTTTGGCTTTAAAAGCCTTCCATTTTGGGGCGCCTGGGTGGCGCAGTCGGTTAAGCGTCCGACTTCAGCCAGGTCACGATCTCGCGGTCCGTGAGTTCGAGCCCCGCGTCGGGCTCTGGGCTGATGGCTCAGAGCCTGGAGCCTGTTTCCGATTCTGTGTCTCCCTCTCTCTCTGCCCCTCCCCCGTTCATGCTCTGTCTCTCTCTGTCCCAAAAATAAATATAAACGTTGAAAAAAAAATTAAAAAAAAAAAAAAAAAGCCTTCCATTTTGCACAGCTCCTCAGAGCTCCTTTCAGTCTGCTAGATGGGATGCTGCCTGATTCATGAATAAAACCCGTAAGACTGTTAAAATTTACTCAATTGAATTTTGGGTTTTTTTAACAGGTAGAAACAATCCAAATGTCCATCAACAGATAAATAAAATGTTCTATACACATACAATGGAATTCAGCCTTAAAAAGGAAGTAAATTCTGATACAAGCTATAACATAGATGAAACTTGAAAACATGCTACATAAAATAAGCCAAACACAAAAGGACAAATGCTATGTGATTTCACCTACATGAGCTACCTAGAACAGGCAAACTTACAGAAACAGAATATAGAATAAAGGTTACCAAGGGCTGGGCAGGGGAGAAAATGGGGAATTACTGTCTACAGAGTTGCTATCGGGGATAATAAAAAAAAGTTCTCAAAATACACAGCGGTAATGGTGGCACAACATTGTAAATATACTTAATGCCATAAGTTGTACACTTAAAAAATGGTTAAAATCATAAATTGTTATGTATATTTACAATTTTCCCCCAAGTATAGCTACAGTAATTTATACTATTATATTCCCCAATATTAAAGTTAGTGTAAAATGAAGAGGAAGCCATGCAGATGGAGGCTATCCATAAGTGATAATAAAAGAAGCTGTCATTGTACTGGTGAGGGAAAATTGACAAGTCATAATGCATTCATTTCAGTCATTTTCTGTCCTAAAAACAATCACATTCTAATAAAAAACACACTGTAAAATTTACTTAGTGAAGAATTTTGTGACACTGTGATATGCCTTTCTACACCTAAGGATTTAAGCACACTGTGTCAAAAATCCCTACCTGGTGACACAACTGGAGAAAATACTGCCCTAATTTTAAAGGCAGCATAGATTAATAAAGAAGGGGCTCGTAATGGACATACAAATAGTGACCATTCAATTTCATCAACAAGTAATAAATAAATGCACAGTACCTGTGAGAAACCCAGGCCAACAAGTACCGCTACTATACTTGCAAAAAGCAAAATTGAAGACCTAGCCTTACATTAACCCAGAAACTCATTAATTCAAACTACCATTTAATGTCTGCCTTTAAAGGTAAGTGTATTTCAGTCATTTAATGTCCACAGTGTACATTATTGTGGATCGGGTTATCATTTTTAGATTATCAGCTCCTTGAAAGGAAGGTAAACGCCCAACTTGAGGTACTACTCTCAATGATTAGAAGGCACAATGCGGAACCTAATGAAATTCTGCAACGACCGTTCTAAAAGTCAGTTTGATTTTTAATTGATTACAAATAAAAGTTTACTAATTTCTCAAGTGTGCCAATAGATTCAATTTCCTATATAACCTTATCTCGGAAACCAGTCGCCCCATATGAAACTTAACGCTGTACCCCCTCTGGTCTGCATATTCAGAGTGCATTCTAGTCAAGTCCCCAGTGTACCAACAGCCCAATTTTGGCTATATTCTCTGAGCGATTTAAGGAAGTCAGCAACCACTCATCTCACGTGATCTTAAAAAGGGAGGGGGGGGTAGTTTAGCCCAGATTAAACCACACTTTTTTTTTTCTTTGCATTGACTTCACAGAACAGCATCAAGGAAGTGGCAGGGAAGTGGCGCAGTCTGGTGCACAGGGGAGGCTAGCAAACGCGTAGGTTGCTGTGCCTTGGAGTTTGGGGGAGCTAGGAGGTAGGAAGGCACACCCGCTCACGCGCATTGCAGCGACTGAAAAATCGAAGACTGCCACACCCCCCCCACCCCCCCGCAAGCAGCCCGGGCAAGGCTTCATCTCTTCAAGCTCGAGCAGAAAGGGGGCCCGCTCTACGTACTAGCCCATCTTCAGGGCACCTCTCCCAGCCTGGGTACCCCAACAAGCAACGCCCTTGAGCACCGCGCGGGTAGTACTATGCGCTGGGGGGCGCAGAGGGGGGAGGGCCGCGGCCCTGGGCGACCCGCGCATGCGCAGATAATGGTACCCGTCCGTTCACCTACCGTTGGAACCGCGACGCCCCGTCCCCCGGCCGCGGCCGCTTCTCCAGGACCTGCGGCGACGGCAATAGAGCGAGAACTGAGTCCCCGGGTGGCTCCGCGGCCGGCGAGCCTCCTCCTGTGGCGGCCGCTGGCGGGACGCTGAAGCGACGGCTGCGGCGCGGGGCCAGCCCGGTAAGCGACCCCCGGATGCCCCCGGCGGTGGCGGCGGCGAAGACGTGGAAGAGGGGGCAGGAGCGGTGACTGAAGCAGTGGCTGAGGCGCAGACCCTCCCTAACGGCGAGCGGGAGGAGAGCGGAGGGCGGAGGGCGGGCGGGGGACGGACCGGACGTGACGTGCGTGGGATGGGGCGGGGCGGGCCCGCTTACAGAGGCCGGGCGAGCGCGCCTCGATTGGGGGTTCCCCAAAGCTTCTGGCCACAGCCCGGGAGTCTGCGTGCTCTGGAGTTAACCTCCTCCCGCCCCAAACTTGGGCCCCTGAGTTAGGGTGCGAGAAGCCGGGCGCGGGCCTGAGGGAGGTATTTGGGGTCCTCAGTTTGGGGAGGTTGGAAAGAAGATAGAAGAAAAAACTGGAAGACCGACGTTTCTCCTGGTCTCTGCAGAGGGGGCCATGCCTTCCTGCAGAGGACTAGAAAAACCCAGGTGCCCTTATCCAGGTGAGGAGCACGGAGACCTTAACAGAAAACCGCCAAGCAGACCGAAGCAGTGACTCAACGTTCCCATTCCCAGCTTTGGGGGTCAGATCCGGAACCCTGCCCGCCCGCCACCCTTCCTCTTCACTTAAGGACATGCCCCAGACTCCAGAGAGAACATATATGCCTCTGGTGCTGAAACCATCGGGGAATATGAAAGTTAATAGGCTACATGTTCACAGAGAGTTTGCTACATTAAACCAGTTTCAAAGGCAGAGCTGCAAGGAGGCATAAAGAATGAGGCGCCCTCTGAGTCTAGGGAGTCGGTACTTCTCGCATAGCCACCCAGACGGACCCTGAAGCTCCCACGAGCTCACAAAGGTGTGAATATTCAGCCAATCTCTTATTTGCTTTAGTGTGTTAAATAAAGGCTTTGGCATCTTCCATTGAGTAAAACGCAATGTTCTGCTTTTGTACCCCTGGATGGCGGGTAAAGCCACACCTGCAAAAAGAAGTCTGGTTTTCTGTAAAAATACAAATGACCACAATTCGGTTGTCTCCTGCTTGCCTGAGGTGCAAGTTAGTAACCCAGAAAATGTAAAACAAGAAGCCTCATAGAACTTGCAACAAATTTTTTTTAAAAAAGAAAAAAAAGTCACCGTGTGAGATGATCTGTAAATGTGTTACAGAGGCCAGAGTAGCTCCCAGATTTCATCAGTGAAATAAGTCATCTGTACCTTCAGTGTCACATGCCTAGTTGATGCTGTCATAAAGGAAGGGTGGGGTCCATAAAGAATCTAGAACCAGCAGAATCTGAATAAGAATGTATTGCGGGCTTCCACTTTGTCCAGGAGAGAGGCTACTGATTCTAATGACCAGGATCAATACCTATTATCAGGACAGGTAAAAATTTAATTCAAATTAAATCCCTCACTCAGTAAATACCCACTGAATGCTTACTGTGTTCTAGTCTTTCAATACTTACAGCAAATAAGATCTCTGCCTTTATTGAGTTTATATACTAGCAAAGTTAAATTCTGGATATCCCTTAAGAACATGCAAAGACCCATACTCTGAATTAGTCTTCCCATCACTTAAGGGGTCTTAAGTAAATAAACCCGCTGAGAAACAATTGTCCAAGACAATGGACATGACTGGTACTAGTTAAACTAGTTGTATATACTCTTTCTCAATTAATAAATTCACCTGAGGGTTATAAATCAGCTTCTGTTCACTGGGTTGAGTATTAAAGTTGTTTTATCCGAATTAATTTCGCAGAGCCTAATTAGGCTTAAATGAAGTGAAATGTAAGTTTCTGAATCTTGCCAAACTGAGGACCAGATAGGCCCCACTTTCACAGCAGCCCAATCAAGATGCAGCCTATGCATTCATGGGGTGCCTGGGTAGCTCAGTCAGTTAAGTGGCCAGCATGGGCTCAGGTCATGATCTTGCAGTCCTCAGATTTGAGCCCTGCATCAGGCTCTGTGCTGACAGCTCAGAGCCTGGAGCCTGCTTCAGGTTCTCTGTCCGCCCTCCATCTCTCTCAAAAATAAACAAACATTAAAAAAAAAAAAAAAAAAAAAAGATGCAGCCTATGCATTCAGCCTTGCATCTTTCTTTGAACATCTTAAATGGAAGCTTTACTTGTGGTTACATCCTTCAAGAACAGGGGCAACATGATTGCTTCTAAAGCTTAATCGGAAGCAAGTAAAATAGAGTAAATCATTAGAGTAAAAACCTTCTTGTACCTGTCCTGCCTATGCAACACAGGCTCTTGTTGACATAACTGACTGTAATAGGGACATTACTCTCCAGTATGAAACCCAAGACTGTAGGCTCCCAGAGGACAGAGATTGCCTTGCACCCACTCCCAAAGTATGGGCTCCCAAAAACACGAATTAATTTGATGACCGTTTTCCCCTGTAAAACTCAAAAACATGTCTTTGAAAGATATCTTTTCCAGATCCTACTTTATAACATGTAACCAGTGTTATATGTGACCAGTATGAATCTATGCAAGATTCAGGAGTATCATTTTAAAAAACCAAAACAAGGGGTGCCTGGGTGACTCAGTTGTTTAAGCATCAACTTTGGCAGAGGTCCTGATCTCACAGTTTGTGAGTTCGAGCCCCAAGTTGGGCTCTGTGCTGACAGCTCAGAGCCTGGAGCCTGCTTCAGATTCTGTGTCTCCCTTTCTCTCTGCCCCTCCCCTGCTCACACTCTGTCTCTCTCTGTCAAAAATAAATAAACATAAAAACACAAACACACACACACACACAAAAAAAAAAAAACAAGGGGCACCTGACTGGCTCAGTCAGTTAAGCATCTGACTTGGGCTCAGGTCATGATCTCGTGGTTTGTGGGTTCAAGCCCCGGGTTGGGCTCTGTGCTGACAGCTTGGAGCCTGGAGCCTGCTTCAGATTCTGTGTCTCCTTCTCTCTCTGCCCCTTCCCCGCTCACAGTGTCTTTCTCAAAAATACACATTAAAAATTTTTTTAAACAAAAACTTAAGAAATGAAACAAAACCCCTTTATTTTCATCTTTCACCATCCCTTTAAACCTGGGCAGTGGAAGTACATTTATTATACACTTGGTTCAGGCGGGTTCCTTGGGTTCCATGGTCCCTCTTAGGAATAGAAAATTCCTAGGGTGTTTGAGGGGTTCCTGCCTAGCTCAATCTATAGACTATATGACTCTTGATCTTGGGGTCGTGATTTTAAGTGCCATGTGGGAATAGAGTTTACTTAAAAAAAAAAAAAAGTCCTAAGGTGTTTGAGTCACAAAAAATGACACTTTTTCCTTTTTTCCAGCTGGGGGTTTCTCTCTCAATGTTTGCCCGAGAGAGGCATCATGCCTGGTCTTTCTTGTATTACCTCAGCTTACCAACCAGAGGCAAAGGGAGGCGGAGAGAGGAAAAGTAAGGGGAGTGGGAAGGTTCTTAACTTTTACTTCCATGTGATGGTTTAACACTTGGGCATAGTAGATGTTTAAAGCCACCTTTTTTTTCCTGATGGATACTTGTACGGTTACTTTAGAAACCACCCGCATCCCCATCCTCTGGTGGTTATCCACCCAGCCAAAGCACTCTGTTCTGACAGTTCTTTTACTTCCTCTTTCAGGCCCTAGCATTCTGGAGGCCCACTTCCAATTTCTTGTCTGTTGAAACTTGTTATGCTCTGTAAGAACTCTGTCTGATAGGATCTAAGATGGCTCTCACACTGGCCCATTTGCAAGTGGCCCCAGGGCCACCCCATATAGTTATGCGTGGTGGTGCACTCCATACCCTAGGGAGTACCGTTCCCACCATCCTTGCCAGAGATTTGTCTATTGATTTTGACAGTTTTCCAGCAGGTGGCAATAAAGTGTTTTGTCCAAACTAAATTAGTGGGACTATTTTTCAATAGAAGGTATGAAGTGTCTGGATGAAAGAGAACTTCCTTCTCACGGTGCCATTTAGGCTAGCGGTGGCTCTGTATGGTCCACACTTGGTCTGCGTGAATCTCTCACGTACTCCTTGCCCAAACAAACTGGGGAGGACAGGCCAAACCCAGTGCAGTTTGGGCATTCCTCTGCTCTTCCACCAAAACAGCTGCCAGCCCCTCTCAGCTCCTCTCTATTTTCCAGGCAAGAATCAGACACAGGTCCACTGTGCCTCTCTAACTACAAGAGGCACATCTCATGTAGTCTGAGTAGTTCCACTGAAGGTTCCTCTCCCTCAGCTTGAGGTAAAAGGAAGGCAGGCATCTGGTAAGAATCACAGCATACCAGCAACCGTCTCCAAAAAATTATTTTCTCACTTGACCTTTTATAACTTGTTGTATTTAGAGTTATCTACCTGATTCTGTCTAAACCCTTATTTCTAGGGGGAGTCCATTTCAGAACTCACTTTAGTGAGCTTTTCGGAGGGTAGGGGGAGTTGTTGGATTTTTTTCATAATATCCTGTTGCTTTGGTTAAAACGATATTTCTCAACCAGGGATAATTTTTATGGCCATGTCTAGAGGCACTTCTATGAGCTCTCAGTGCTATTGGCATCTAGCAGGTAGAAGTCAAGGACACTGCTAAACATCCTACAATGCATAGGATAGCCCTCCCCACAACAAAGAATTATCTGACTGAAATGTAACATCTTGCAATAAATAGAATGTCTTCATTTGGTAGTCACTATAAGTAAGAAAACACCTCAAAATTACATCACTTATTTCCTTCCTTTTCCCTCCAAATGCTTTACCTATAGATGTAGAGGTTACATTTGAATATATAATTAGTGTCAAAACAGCATTTCAGACAGCTCTTTGGACCCGATGAGAAGTGATTGGTGTGTTGCTAAGACTTGCGCTGGAGGTAAACCCTGCCAGGAAAGTTATCACTTCAGGTGAAACTTTGTAGTTATTTCTTTGTGAGATGACTTTTATAGCCCAGGAAAACAAACACCTTACCCACCTGCTCTGAGCAGAGACTTTATCTCCCTCAGAAGTCAAGTCATATTTCAAATCACTATGGAAGAAATGTACACTTCCTGCAACCCCAGAACACATTCTAGATGCCAGGGAGGACTTCAGCATGTCAGACTCCCCAGGGTGACCAGTGTCACTGGGATGATACTGAAGTGAGGGAGTAGATCTTTGTAGTCACTTCACAACCGACACCCTTATTATTCAAAGAGAAAGCAAATGAATTTCTGTGCAACCCAACTATGGAATAGTCTGAATTCCCTCTTCTAGTTGTAGCAGGATGTTGAGCCCTTCTCTTGTGCCTTCAATAAGGAAACTTTCATTATTTAAGTATCCTCTTCACCCTTACTGATCTCATATCAGACCAAGGCTATTTGAGGACTAGCATATAGATGAACTTTTGTTCAATCAAGGCTGCTATTATCTTTTTTAATAGCATGCTCATAAGAAACTGGAGCCATAGTAGTCAGCCAAAGCCAAAAAGACATATCCCATCCCCACTAACGTTATCACTTAAAAAGTAAAATAAACACAACAAACATTGAATACTTATGAATGTCAGACTTGGAATAAGAACATAGAACCTATGGGGCACCTGGGTGGCTCAGTCGGTTAAGCGTCCGACTTCGACTCAGGTCATGATCTCACCATTGGTGAGTCCAAGCCCCTCATCAAGCTCTGTGCTGACAGCTCAGAGCCTGGAGTTTGCTTCAGATTCTGTGTCTCCCTCTCTCTGCCCCTCCCTTGCTCACACTGTGTCTTTTTATCTCTCTCAAAAATAAATAAACATTAAAAAAAATTTTTTAGAGAACATTGAACTTACGATAAGAAAACCTGTATTTGAGTTCTAGCCCTTTCACTTAGTAGCCATGTGACTCTGGGCAAGGTACTTAACCTAAATGCACATTAGAGTCCCCATTAGTAAAATAGGAAAAGTAATACTGAATGAATTGGTATACATAAAAGTGTTTTATAAGCTCTGTACTCCAATTTTTCACTCTTCTCTCCTATGCTGCTTTCAGAGACCTAAAGAAGTCTCTGGAGATGTTTTGCCACCATCTGGGTTTTTATTGCTAGTGATGAGCCCCATGTGAAATCTTTTTTGGCAGAAGTTGCTAAATACTTGTCAATCTATTTTTAAATGAAAACCAACAACCACTAAGAGCCTCCAAACTCTTGGGGCTATTTAAGTTTTTTGTTTTTTGTTTTTGTTTTTGTTTTTGTTTTTGTTTTTTGAGAAAGAGTACACAAGCGGGAGAGAGGGGCAGATGGGGAGAGGGAGAGGGAGAGAGAGAGAGAGAGAGAGAGAGAGAGAGAACGAGAGAGAGAGAGATAGAAAATCCCAAGCAGGCTCCATGCTCAGCACAGAGCCCAACTCAGGCCTCAATCCCATGACTCTGGGATCATGACCCAAACCAAAACCAAAAGTCAGATGTTCAACTGACTGAGC